ATGGTGTGTTTTTCTCTCGGCTAAGCGTGGAAGGATGGATGGATTAGCCATGGGTCGGTTCAGTCAGGGTTCGGAAATGAAGGGGGTGTGGATGGAGGGATCCGGTGGTGGTGTTCCTTTGGGTGGTAAGGCGAACGGTGGGATGGAAAAGCACATGGTTGATGGGTTCGATGGGTTCTAGAATTTTGGGGGGTGTGGTTCTTGTCACTGAGTTCATTTGGTTGTTATGCTGGGGTGGAAGGGATAACTGGGTTTAGATGCTTGGTTAGGTGGTCTGCTTGTTCTGTGCTGTCATCTTGCTTTACTTTCGAATTCAGTGGTTGGAATCCTTGTTGGTAGTTCTTGTAAGGTCAATGAAAGCAGACCTGCTTAGCACTTGTCTCAATTACCTTACGCTTACTTCCTACTTGAAGCCCCATCAGGGCTGTAGAGCACCTGACTTCATCCATTCCTTCTACTAGGATGCTGTCTTGCCATCGGCCCATATTGTATGTAAGCCCTGGAGTGGCGGAAGCAGGGCACTCGCTTCCTTTGTGGCAAACAGTTGGATTCCTTCGACTTGGGATTCTCCTTCAAGTGGTCTGATTGGGTGATGGTGGCAGTGATGGGGTCAATGGATTGTTGGTTGGGTCTGTACAATGTGTTTTGTAGTAGTGTTCACAGGGCATTACTTGCCACAGTAGAACTGGATTATAGCATACTACCATCTGTTAGTACTATAGATTGTGCATATCGTATTGAAGTGATGTAGTGTCTAGGTATACGCAGTGTCGTAGTAGTGGTAGCACTCATTGCACTCTCAGTATATATATATTTCCAGTTCTTAGTAGTAGTATAGTATGTGTTGAGCAATTACTTCTCATGAATATGCATATACCACTGCAACAATTGCAGTAATCAAGACAGAGTATCTTTGAGAATGCAATGCTCTTACAGTATAAGTACTACTCCCATTATATTATTACCTCCCAGGCTAGTATACAGATAAGTACTAACTCAACCTTCAACACATAACTACTAGTTAGTAGTACTATCACCACATCCCACTTACTAACACAACATAATACGAAATCAACAACAACCCCCTAACAAGGAAACCCCTATCGAATACACTTTGTACGGAGTAGTTACATGCATGCAGCACAATCCACCTTACCATGCAACCATCGAACCAGAAGTAGGCTCTCTCTCCTCTGCATCCCACTTCACGGACTACATTAGTCCAGAGGTATTAAGTAATGACATCTGAACACATGTCAATCAAACTTAATTCTGCTGGAAGGGGGAATATGATTGGATATCGTGCTGATATATATTTCTCCGCGGTGGTCACATCTGAATTTAGTCTACTACAACTGAGTGATTTAGTTGCTTTGATCATCGATTGATAGGGTTCATGGTTTCTGGTGGATTTATATTTTGGGAATATACGGATATGAAGTAGTATAATCATGTGGTAGGACGTGGGATGAGTCCTGACTTGACTAGGTTAGAAAACCCAGTTAATCAGACTACTAACTTACTTCCTAACGAACAATAACACGATGATCTATAGTAAGTACTAGAATGCAGATAAGAGTCAGGAACATATATCATTCCATGACATCGTCATGTGTCGGTATACTCTACTCCGCAATATATTTCCCACTCACTCACCATCCACATAGCAATCCTACTACTAGTACTATTACTCAACCAACTAACACATTGGAATGGAATCACTCCCTCCCTCCTTCCTACTTTTCCAGAAAACTCTATTCAGAGTCATCGCAATCCATTATCCCTGCTAGTCAATAAACCAAGTATACTACGCAACACACACTCCGAATCAATACAACCGTATCAGCAAAACAGTAACTGTATTTCATGTAACAAATCTACAGATCTGCTGCGTGGCAGGCGGGGCCGCCCATACCTAGAGCAGACTAGTGCGGACCCAGAACATCTCCAGAACAAGTCCGATGCCCGAGATTATAGGCCACTAACGGCAACTTAGTGTCGGGATTATGTGGAGCGAATCAATCATCCTTCCTGTCGGCTGTCTTTGGCTGGGTGTATGGTATTGTTTTGGTCCGTGTGTATTATTCAGATGTCTAGGTTTTTTTTTATTCTTTATATGAGATCAAGGTATTTGTGTAGTTAGTATATTTTTGTTTAGAAGTTTGATTGCATAAATATATGGAAGCTTGCAATACAGGTAGTTGGAATAGGAAGGAAAATTTTTCTGCCTGGAATTAAGGGCAGCTCGGAATGTCACCGAAGCGGTTCCGGGATTCTAAACTAGTGCAGCATGAGGGAAGGATGATGCTTGAGGGCAGCATTTCGGTCAGCACTAGGCGTCCATGACTCTCTGTATGGTGTAGATCGTTATTCCTGGCTGTAGGGTGTCTGGCATCTGGCGCTTCGATGTATCTGCGGATTAACTATAGTCTACAGCTACATCAGCAGCAGCAGCACAGCTCGCCTCAAAAATGGCGTCTGATGTGTGTCTGACTGATCATCGAGACTGATCCGCCATGATATCATGCATCTACACATCACAAGACTAATTCATGTCAGATGACAAGATCCATCCGCCCGCTGCCACTCACTGGCAGACAGATCACTCACCTGCAGGCGCCTCAAATCTTGGAGTTCGAGTTCATCTGCAGAATGCACCCACAAGGAGTGGCTGATTTACGCGAGCGCCGTAGCGATCACATTCACACAATGTAAGTAGTGGTCTGCCTGAAGTGACTCATATTTAGTCAGAGCAGCATGGAAGATGTGACTTGACACGCAGACCGGGTTTCAGCCTCTCCTTCTGACCGCTCGTTTTTCTGGGGCCGGCACTTGCAGAATGGATGGTTGGATGAATGTTTAGCATCCGGGCGATCTTCCAACTCCGCTGCAGCGGACGAAAGTTGAGACATGAGACATGCTGCAGCTGGATATACTGCCTCTGATTTGATAGATGAAGCCTGCGCGCATATTCCGTATCGACTTACTCCGCAGATACTTGCCTTCCTTGTAGTCCAGGCCGCAGGTACATCCTCGATCCCGGAGTAACTACGGCGGCTATACTCGGTATATTATACTGGCACTTTCTGCACGAAATCACGCTCTGTCCTTGATCGACCGGGTTTCCTGCATTGGCTCAGGGTCCGTGTGGCCTGAAAAGATAGCAATGGGTGTGGCTGTGAGGTCGGAGGTATTAGGACGGATAACTGGGTGAGCCCAACACGGCAACCACCCCCACAGAGTAACGGTGCCATCGCCGTACAACACCGAGCCAATATCCTCGGCGATTCATATTATGTCCTGGGGCTGAGGGGGCAGGGGGCTGGGCTGGTTGCTTACGCGCGTCTCTGCTCGTGGGCAGACCGTGCCATAGTGTCGGAGCAGTATACCAAGAGGGATAGCAATCAATCGGGGGCCCGACTACTGAAGCTCGGCTCCGCCGTTTTCCCACTCCTTCCCCCTCGTGCTAAATCCTTCGCTTATCGGATCGATGGGCTTGGGGGCCGTTGGACTTGGATAACCTTGTCTTGATGGCGTAGGAGGTGTCCATGTAATGGGGGGCCATTTCCGCCAGTGTGGCAACTAGAAACACACTTGGTAGACTAGGACAGCGCCCAGAGCGGCGCAAACTACCCCAAAGAGGAAGACTTTCACAGAATAGCACATCCTAGACGGACCCGAGAAACCGGAATCGAGGTCACCAGGGCCTTGACTAGCATTCCCAGCTAAGAGGATCTAGGTGGCGCCATGGCTAGCATCGGCAGCATGATAGAATCCAGTCAAGTCTCGGACGAAGGAATGCAAAGATGGAGCAGGGTTGACCTTAGGGCTTCCACATCGTAGCCGATCAGCATGCCACAGAACCGATCATCCGTCGACAGGGAAAAGGTGATAAGCTGGCAGGATAGCAGACAGGGATATGGCAGCCGATGGCGATGCCTGAGAGGCGGTTTTGGCCACGTTGGGCGGCGGCGGGGAAACGAACAATAATGGGCTAAATGTGGTGGCGGGTTGCTGGCGAGCATCCTACCGTGCCCTCATGATTTACCATACAGAGAGACTAGCGCTGGCGTAATCCTACGGGAGTACACGGTGTCCAGCGAGTGGAGGGTCGCTTGAAGCAAGTCGAGATGTCAATGGAGGAGAAAAGCTGGAGCCCCTCAGGGGAGGAAATCCCGCCTCCACTTGGGGATCCGAATGGACCCCATCTAATGTCGGCGACTCCGTGGATGACGGAGACGGTGTAGTAAAGTTCATTGTTTCAAAGCAGTCTTTGTTGCAATGCTTTGTTTCCAGTTTTTCCACGCAGCAAACGCACGCGATGATGTGATGAAGCTGGAGATCGCTCAACGGCGCGTTGCTCGTCGAATATTGCACCAATCAGTGCTGTATCCCCGCACTCCCGATCGAGGCCATGGCGGTGTCGATCATATTGGGAAGTTCGAGAAGAATGATTGGAGAGGATTCACGGGAGTCAACCAGGTATAACCAGTACCAAGTTAAGTCCCGCGTAGACTGCAGGGGGAGGAAAAGAAGCTGCCTTTGGTCGTGGCAAACCGGGCCGCATCGAGGCGCGGGTTGGAATGGGCGCAACTGCAATCCCTTTCGTACTATTCATCTATCCCACGATCCACTGGAGTTGGAGAGCAATCCTCCATCTTTCTCCTCTCCACCAGTAAGTGGCCTTCCTGCAGACCCTCAAACTTTGAAGCCAGCGTCAGCCAGGCAGCTTGCTAGCCAGCCAGCCAGCATCAGCACTCAGCAGCTTGATGCCCAACATGGACGATAATCCTGAACCCTGTTGTTGCGCAGCCCGACCGATTGGCACGTAAAACCCCCGACCGCCAGCCAGCCAGATGATCCGCAACGGAAATGCCCGACCGTCGCAAAGAACAGCCCCAGGAGAAAAAAGAAGGGCTCGGATCACCAATCAGTCCGGTTGATCAGCATCCCATCTCGCGTTGGCGATTTCCCACCTGCAGCAGATGTCGCTGACTGGCTGGCTCGGCTGCGGGATGGAGCTTTAGTGTCTGTGTGTTCTGGAGTCTTTTCTGTCCTGATCATCCCGAGCATCCACTAAGACCTCTAAGAGTAACAGCCTGTTAGATGACAGTCCTGGTCTGACAGTAGAGTTAGGAGGATGGGGTCGAGTAATGGCAGGACCTACTATATCGCATCTGCTATGGAGTCAATATTCAGCCCATCCGTTGGTTGGCTGATTGCTTGCTTGATGATGATGATCAATCAATTTACCTTTACTCCCATTCATGATTCATTTCCAACCTGCAGGGCCAGTCATCCATCATCCCGGCCCAATTCCCAACCCCATTCCTCTTTTTTCCCTCTCTCTCTTTCTCTCCAGTCGGAAAAACCACGCAGGACCCATCCAAACCTGCGTGGGATGCGGGAGATCACGATGATCTCCCTCTCTGCCATGCAGCCTGTTGCTCACCGAGAATCCTGCTGTTCTTGTTTTTCCATGCGGCCGGCACTTCAAATGCCAAATTGCCGGAAGTGTGTAACTGTAATTGTAGAGGATTCTATCCATGACTGGTAGTGGTGGGTGAGGTTGTAGTTTAGTTGGTGAAGCGAAGCGAAACTGGAAGTGACGAGGTCAAGTACGGAGTATCTATTACCAGCTGATTCCCTCCCACTGCCATACTATCCAAGTCCATATGACAATACCTACACACATACATACATACATACAGATACAACCTACATGCTGAATATGCAGTTTAGACAATCTCATCACATTATTCCAAGAATAACATCGCCTCTTATACATATATTTACCTTGGCTTGCATCTTAACTGGACCCCAAACATGGGGCGGACTCGGAGAGTGAGTGTCTACATACTGATGACCACTGCACTTGGGGGAAAGAAAAACAAAAAATAGAACAAAAGAAAAGCAAGTGTGAAGCATTCCCATCCTCCTATTACTCATCGAATGAGTCCAGAACGAAGTCAATCTCGGTCGGATTCGGGTTCGTTCAATACAGTTGGTCAGTCTGGATGGCAATGCTTTTTACATCCAAGCTAGTATGTAGGCGCATACTTTTGTTCCCCCCTCTACGATCATTGGTATTTCAAGTTTTGTATGATGATTGATGATTATTCTTTTCAAATTCCAATTCAATCCAAACCATCCCCTCTCCTGTATGTTCCCTGGTCTGTAATATTGCATAACTGTGTGTATGGGTGTATGGATGGAAATCAAGTAATATGTGGTAAAAGTCAAGCACAGACTCTCTCGCTTCGTCCAAGTTTCTAACCGCCGAAGTATCTCTCGTCTTAGTCTCGAAGTTTCATTTGCATGACATGATCCTACTGCACTATCCTTTCGCCTCCCCCCCCCCTAAAAGTACGTAGGCAGATAGTTCTCTCTTGCATTGACCTCTGCGGCTCGGGGCGTGATTCTAGTCGAGAGGGTAACTATCTACGGACCGGTGGCGTGGTGTGTCTGGGAGGATTGGCATCCTGGTTCATGTATCCATGTGTCGATGTCTGTGCCTACCGCGACATTTCTGTCTTCCCTGGTCTGGAAGCCATGCGCGGTATCGGAGAAGGTACTAGATATACTAGGCTGTATGGTAAATAACTTTATTTGGGATTGTCGGGTGCGTTAGGATGCATCTTGTGTAGTCTCCGACTGCTCGGACGGATGGAGGGTGGGATGGTATCAGTGGATGGATTGAGTAACCCCTGTAAGGGGGTCACGGATGGGTTGCGTGGTGTGCTTGTAGTATCGAGGGCACTACTAACGACATGTCAATGATAGGGGTAGGGGGTAGGCCTGAAGCTTAAGCAGTCTGGTGCTATGCATGTGAGAACGGCTTCATTGTTCTGTTAAGATCGCAATGTTTGTATGTTGTTGCAGCGTCATGTATCCCCATAGACTGGGACATAGCTCATCGAGCCATGTAGGAACTGTCCAAATGTCATTCATGCAACATATCCAGTCCTTCTATATATGTGTACTATATACTGTCCAATATATATCGCCTGTAGAAGTCATCAATCGTCAGTTCATCTGGCTCACTGCCAGGCTCTAGGCGTCAAGGTTCAAGTTCTCTAGGATCCTGTCGAGCTTCTCCATCAGGATCTGATAGTTAATCGCATCTTGGTCGAACTCGTCGACCGCGACCTCACCATCCAGTGTACGGATGAGTGGCTGCTCCTGTACCTTCAAAGCGGCCTGTTCTGGCGGAACAGCCACGCTCGTTCTATCCCCAGAGCCTTCCTTTGAAAGTTGGATTGCCTCCACTCCCTCTGTGACTTTTTCAACGTCTCCGTTGACCTCAACACCATCAGCCACCGGCTGCGTGGGCTCCATCATTTCATCGATACCGGCGTCATCGAACCGCAGCCTGAATCGCTCACCCAGGTAGAAGCGGATATCATCCAACAGTTCGATGGAATCCGTTTCCTGTCGGGACTGGATGCGGGACGCCGACTCTTGGATAAGTTCTGCAAACTCAGGCGAATCAATGTGAGCTTCCAACCGGTACGCGAGGTATCGCGCAGCAAACTCTTCGAGTCGCTGAACACGGGTCAACCACGCAGCCTTAATGATGGCATAAATGTCTAGATCATCCTCTTCCTTGGTACCGCGTGTCCTGGCAGCTTCCGCCTGTGACATGTTGCCACTACCCAGTGTGCTGATGACAATGGCTGCCTTTGTTTTGAGCTTTTCAATAAACAGCATGTCCGACGCGAAGAGAACGTCGACCGCAATATCGAGCGGGAAGTCAGCCCGCTCCGTATAGAGGAAGGTCAGTACAATCTCCAGGACATCCGGGGAGCAGTCCACGCTGATGACATTGAGGTGATCCTTCATGTGGGCTTCCCTGAATGGGGAGGCGAACATGGTTTGAAAGAACTCCGATCGCAGAAGCATTGCCCGATGACAAGGGAACAGAGTAGACATCGGTTCGCGTCTGCCAGATCCATTGGAGCGGCCGCGTTCGGCCTCAGTCAGCTCAGATGCCTCCACAATTTCCTCGTCGTCCTCAGGGAGTTCATCCGCTCGGAGAAGAACATCAGCATAAATGGCATTGTCCCTGTCCCACTTGATATCGTCTGCCTTTGCTGTCTCTACCGTCACTTTATGCTTGAGCACATTCGCCCGGAACCACTCCTCTAGTTGGTCTCGTCCTTTCGCAACTTCCATGGTGCGTCTCTGTCTGGCAAGCCTCCTATCTCCACTGTCAAGTATACTATCCACAAGGGTATTGATCTCTAGATGCTTGGCTATCTTGTCGATGCCCGCGAAAACTTCCGATTCCGTAAATCCCGTGCCGGGGCCGCTTCTCAAGTCCCGAGGGGCTTCTCCGAAATAGAGGTATTTGATTGCTGTTCCAAAAGCCTCTGGTGGAATCGTATTTGGAAGTCTCCATGTTGACGTATCAGGGGCAGACTCCAACTTTCGATGAAAGTACGGCGACCGTGCAGCCAAAATAAACTTGTGAAGGTGTAGTGATTCATCAGCTGCCGTGACAACAATGTCTGACGTTATCGGAGTTTCACGAGTAAGGAGAGAAGTGATATGCGCGGCCAGAGGCTGAAGTGGATTCGTCGATTTCGAATAATCATACTCCAATAACAGGTTCCGTATACGGTCGTTCAATGCATTATATAGACATCTATAGATGGCCAATTGTGAGCAATCGATATCTATGAAGTGGAAGCATTTCAATAGTAACGTACCTCTCGCCTTGAAATGTGTCACGCTCACATAGAGCACCGGACTCGAGGAGCAGCTGCACAACCTCGTAATGTCCGCAGAGACTCGCCTATTGCACGGTTCAGTCAGCAAGGCGGGCTATTCCGATAGTTCCCACAGCGAGTCCACTTACCAGAATCAAGGGGGTGTAGTCATAGGGATCACGGGCGTTAATATTGACTCCCTCTGTGATCTTCTCTTGACAAACTTTGAGGTCCCCCTTACGACAAGCATTGCATAGCTCGCGAAACGGCTCGCTAAGGTCCAGAGGATTGTCGTCTTTGATTGCCCCCTCCTTAATCAGTTTCTTCTCATTGTGCAAGCTGACCTCGAGCTGGTCCTTCCGGAGGACCTTCGGTTCTTCCGTCATCATGGCGATACCGTCACAGTATCCTGGAGGCGAACGTTGACAGATGCCGAAAGTCCGAAAGGCGGGACTCGAACGGCTGCCGATGCCATCATCTTATCGATAAGCCGACATCACGTGGGGCCGCGATTGCCACTTTCGAAAGGAGAGCCTCCCTTGGAAGGATATGGTAGACAAACATCCATCGAATATTTACTCTCCTTGCAGATATATCATCGCTAGATCTTGTGATGAACGTCTTGGTCAACAATATATCCACCAGAATTATCCGATATTCCATGCAGATGAGGCCAGTGCATTCCTGTGAAGTGATGGCACCAGTGATCCAGTCATCCGTGATGCAACAGTGCTTACCGCCTACTATCCGACCGCCTGCTGCATGCAGGAAAGGGCTATGGCAGGATGCGTTGCTTAGCAACAGCCCTGCACCCAAACATCCAGCGTTTCTACCTTCTTGCATGTCTACTTCTTGAATCTACAACTCAACTACATGTGCCACTCCCACCACGTCGTCTACTAACCCAGCAGGTTCCAGTCACACAGCCTCGGTCCATAAATGCAATAGGACACCCCTCATCTCTCCTTTCACATCTCCTTCCGACTTTACCTCCATCCTCTACCTCCTTATCAGCGGCCGGATTCACCCAATAGCCACAATGGCAATTGCATTGGCGGAGGCTGATAAGTATGAGGTGCTAGAGAAGATTGGTAATTGGCCTCTCGCTGGATATATTCATTCTACCAATATACACTGGGCTAACAAGCTTGTGTTTAGGTTGCGGTTCCTTCGGGATTATTCGCAAAGTTCGGCGGAAGACAGATGGCTTTGTAAGTTTGCGAACCCCCATTGCAATATGACACCATGCTTATGGATGCAACTCTACAGATACTATGCCGAAAGGAAATCAATTACATCAAGATGTCCCAGAAGGAGCGAGAGCAGCTCACGGCCGAGTTCAACATTCTAAGCTCTCTTAGACACCCAAACATCGTCGCCTACTACCATCGCGAACACCTTAAGGCGTCCCAGGACTTGTACCTCTACATGGAGTACTGCGGCGGTGGCGATCTGAGCATGGTCATCAAAAATCTCAAGAAGACGAACAAGTACGCGGAAGAGGAATTTGTGTGGCGCATCCTCTCGCAGTTGGTGACGGCTCTGTACCGTTGTCATTACGGCTCAGATCCGGTCGATGTCGGGTCAAACATACTGGGTCCTGCGCCCAAGCCTTCGGGTCTCAAAGGAAAGCAAGCCCAGATGACTATCCTTCATCGTGACCTTAAGCCGGAGAACATCTTCCTCGGAAGCGACAACACGGTCAAACTGGGTGACTTTGGCCTGTCCAAACTGATGAATTCGCACGATTTCGCCTCTACTTATGTCGGAACACCATTCTACATGTCCCCCGAAATTTGCGCGGCCGAGAAGTACACCTTGCGCTCCGATATTTGGGCGGTCGGCTGCATCATGTACGAGCTCTGTCAGCGGGAGCCGCCTTTCAATGCCAGAACCCATATCCAGCTTGTTCAGCGGATTCGTGAAGGGAAATTTGCTCCTTTACCCGATTTCTACTCGCCTGAGCTAAAGAACGTCATCGCAAACTGTCTGCGAGTTAACCCGGACCACCGTCCCGATACTGCCGCCCTCATCAATTTGCCGATCATCCGCTTGATGCGCAAAGAGAAGGAAATTACCGATTTGTCCAGGACACTCCGCAAGCGTGAAGAGAGCGCCTTGCAAAAGGTTCGGGACATTGAGCAGGCCTACGCAAAACTCGAGAAAGAAAAACAACAAATGAAAGTTGAGCTTGAGAATACGGTGCGCCGCGAGTGGGAAGTGAAAGCCAGACTTGAAATCGATCGTCAAGTGCAGAACGAGATAGAAAAGCTCCGCAAGAGATTTGAGTGTGAAGTTCAGGAGCGAGTTGCAATTGAGGTCGAAAAGCAAAAGCGAAATATGGTTGTTCGCGAGGATTCTAGCGACGACTCCCGGCTCTCCATGAGCAACAATGACACTGAACAGCCTTCTGGTACTGATATCAGCAATCTATCACTCGAATCGCCTGCTGCGAGCAAGGCACAACGGAAGGAAACCCGCACCCCCTTCAACCGCTCAAAAACCGTGGTCGAATCGCCTATGGATGTTCAGATGGCAGAGCCGTCCCCTATCTCCATTGCATCACTCTCTTTGTCCCCGCGTCGGACCTCTGGGACCCATTCCGGCAAGAACATCTTCGCGGAGGCGGAGAAAAACCGCACAAAGTGGGAACCTACCCTGGCTTACTCTGACGATGAAGATGACATCCCCGATCTGCCTTCTCCAACACGCCCCAAGGTCAAGCCTGATCCCTTCAAGGCTCCGCCCAGGCCCCTTCTCCGTCAGAACACCGCTGCTTTTATGCAGAAGCTGAGCACCCAGCCTCCCATCTTTCCCACCAATGGGTCAAGACTGCCGCAGATGTCATCTGGTGGATCTGGCGACAGCCAGCAGAGGGAAGCCAAATCACGATCGCCTCACCGACGTTTGTCCAAGATCCCATCATCAGCAAATCTGGCTGCCGATGCTGGCTCACCCACGCGCAAGACAGGCATCAAGCAATTAGCCTCAAAGGCGAATGGAGGTGGGGAGGAGATGTACAAAGCCGTCATGCAACGCAACATGGGCGGTCGAACCTTGGTTGAATTGGCACAGGCGCGCGCTGGCGGCCGTCCCATCGATGAAATCAAGCGGTGTGCGAGTGATCCCCGCACCGGGCTGAAGCCGACAGAGCGCGATTCTCCAGCTGTTTGGGATCCCGAGAGGGACGAGATGCCCAGTCCCTTCTTGGCCCGAGGCAGAAAAGTTATCCGCAACCTGAGGTGACTCCAATCGCGCTTTTCACCTGGGCGACATTCAGATATTGCCACCATTTCTCATACACATAGTACCTGCGTGCTTCTTGCTGGTTGATCCACAGGAGTAGCTGCAGTAGGCTTTTGGGTATCTCCCTTGAGGACCTCACCTCACCTCACCATATCTACTTTTAATAGTCGAACATATTCCGGAGTTATGGCTGGTGGATTGTCTCAAAGACCAACGTTGGCCATGCCAGTCATGGGACGTGGATGCATTTAGTTGCGCCGCATCGTCGTTAATCCTATCTCACCAGGATCTTCACTTTCCTTTGTTCTCTAATGCCGTGATGCCCCTGTTGTTTGATCTTCACTTCACTTCTCGACTTGTACAGATATTACATTTGACATCCCCTGTTTGGATTACTGCTATTGAAAGACACCTTGGTGATTCGACGCGATTCTGATTCAGCTTATGATGATTCGAGCCTTTTTACCACGGCCTTTTCCCTAGATATCCTCTGCCACACTCTTTTGAACCTCACATTTCCTTTCCACCCCCATTCTAATGGTGTTTCACGGTTGGTGTTTATTTGGTGAATCATGGGCTACATATGGTATGGGAAGGGCTCCTGTGTACATACCAATTGGGTTTTCTCTCATAAGTTCTGCAATGGCAGACTCTGCTTTGATTCTTGTCATCTCACTCCAATATTTCAAATTGGTGCATATGTCCGAAGTTAACTCGTGACCAAAAATAGCTTGTTTGAAAATTCAACTGTCGATGGACGGGTCATTCTGAAATTTGATGTTTAATTTTTTGTTTCGTATCGCATCGAGTTATAGTTACATTGATTTGAGATCCGACTAACGCCTCGTAAGATCCTAATCATGGGGTGACGGGTCACAGGTTAGGTCGTGGTGGTAGAAGAAGTGATTGATTATTATGCTTCCTCGTCCTCCACTTCTTCGATCTGCACAGACCGAAGCTCCTGATTGAACCGCCTCTCCTCCTCTTCCAGTCTGCGTTGAGTGTCCTCATCATCAGCAGCTGGAGCAGCTGACGAAGCTTTCTCCTCGCCTTCTGCAGGTCCGGCATTATACCCTGCTTGCTCCAGCCGATCCATCTCCTCCGGTTCCAAGAGCTTGCCTTGTCCCCGTATAGCTTCCTGTTTGACCCTGACAGCTGCAGGAACGAACTTATTGATCGCCTCTTGTCGGAGATTCCTGATCTCCGGCTTGGCCTCGTACACAGTCTTCGCTTCGACGACGGGCGGTTTCGCCGGAAGAGCGTGCGGGCCCCGACCTCCACCACCTTCAGCCTCTCCTCCTGGCCCTCCTTTTCGATACTGTCGCGGGATAGGCGGAGGCGTATCCCTCGGCATGGGTATCCTTCTCACCTCCTCATCTGTCTCGTCGCTACTACTACTCCCGTCATCACCATCGTGCCTAAACCGGTTGCCGTCGCCGCCATCTCGCCTGCGTTTGCCTAAGACTGCAGCATCCCCGCGCCCACGGTGCTGACCGCCTCGTCTAGATTCAAAGTTGTTGAATTTGGGTGCCTTATCGCCCAACGCTTCTCTGGCCTTCTGCACGGCGCGCAGATCACGTTCCAGGGCTTCCAGAAGCTCCTGATCGCGGGGTCGTAGCTTTTGTCCTGATTCTTCGAATGCTTTGAGGTCGTTGATTTGTCGTTGGATGCGCTCGGGGTTGCGACGCGCTAGTTTCTCGTTTCGTCGGGCTTGCGCTTCGGCTTTGCCTTTCTTGAGACTTTTTTGTTTGTCGAGTTTGCGTTGCGCCGCCGCCGGGTTTAAGCTGCGTTCTTTGTCTTTGGGCATGGTGGGTGAGCAGTTGGGGAGGGTGAAGTTGAGGTATGAGGTGGATGGGTAGGGCGTCAATTACTCCACGGGGATGGGTATTATTCCGGCTGTCTGTTTAGGCACTATGTGGGTACTGGATGGTTTGATTTCTTAAAGTCAGTCAGTCAAATCCAATCTCACGTATCAATGTAGTTCTTTGTAATCTAGCTCTCGAATTGTCGGGGATGAGGGGGGACAGGCTCGGGTATGACGAGCTCCGGAGGCTGTATGGCCATCAGGGAGCTCTTGCAGCACACTAAGCTATGGGGATGAAGAAAGAAAGGTGCTCACAGGCTAGTAGCTAACCAAGCTGCA